ATCAGCACTTGAGAAAAATGTGTATTCTGTTGTTTTTGGATGGAATTTCCTATAAATGTCAATTAAGTCCATCTTGTTAATATATCATTTAAAGCTTGTGTTTCTTTATTTATTTTCATTTTGGATGATCTGTCCATTGGTGAAAGTGGGGTGTTAAAGTCTCCTACTATGAATGTGTTAGTCGATTTCCCCTTTTATGGCTGTTAGTATTTGCCTTATGTATTGAGGTGCTCCTGTGTTGGGTGCATAAATATTTACAGTTGTTTTATCTTCTTCTTGGATCAATCCCTTGATCATTATGTAGTGTCCTTCTTTGTCTCTTCTAATAGTCTTTATTTTAAAGTCTGTTTTGTCTGACATGAGAATTGCTACTCTAGCTTTCTTTTGGTTTCCATTTTCATGGAATATCTTTTTCCATCCCCTTACTTTCAGTCTGTATGTGTCTCTAGGTCTGAAGTGGGTCTCTTGTAGACAGCATATAAATGGGTCTTATTTTTGTATCCATTCAGCCAGTCTGTGTCTTTTGGTGGGAGCATTTAATCCATTTACATTTAAGGTAATTATCGATATGTATGTTCCTATTCCCATTTTCTTAATTGTTTTGGGTTTGTTATTGTAGGTCTTTTCCTTCTCTTGTGTTTCTTGCCTAGAGAAGTTCCTTTAGCATTTGTTGTGAAGCTGGTTTGGTGGTGCTGAACTCTCTCAGCTTTTGCTTGTCTGTAAAGGTTTTAATTTCTCCATCAAATCTGAATGAGATCCTTGCTGGGTAATCTTGGTTGCAGGTTTTTCTCCTTCATCACTTTAAATATGTCCTGCCAGTCCCTTCTGGCTTGCAGAGTTTCTGCTGAAAGATCAGCTGTTAACCTTATGGGGATTCCCTTGTGTGTTATTTGTTGTTTTTCCCTTGCTGCTTTTAATAGGTTTTCTTTGTATTTAATTTTTGACAGTTTGATTAATATGTGTCTTGGTGTGTTTCTCCTTGGATTTATCCTGTATGGGACTCTCTGTGCTTCCTGGACTTGATTAACTATTTCCTTTCCCATATTAGGGAAGTTTTCAACTATAATCTCTTCAAATATTTTCTCAGTCCCTTTCTTTTTCTCTTCTTCTTCTGGAACCCCTATAATTCAAATGTTGGTGCGTTTAATGTTGTCCCAGAGGTCTCTGAGACTGTCCTCAGTTCTTTTCATTCTTTTTTCTTTAATCTGCTCTGCAGTAGTTATTTCCACTATTCTATCTTCCAGGTCACTTATCCGTTCTTCCGTCTCAGTTATTCTGCTAATGATCCCTTCTAGAGTATTTTTAATTTCATTTATTGTGTTGTTCATCATTGCTTGTTTCATCTTTAGTTCTTCTAGGTCCTTGTTAAATGTTTCTTGCATTTTCTATATTCTATTTCCAAGATTTTGGATCATCTTTACTATCAATATTCTGAATTCTTTTTCAGGTAGACTACCTATTTCCTCTTCATTTGTTAGGTCTGGTGGGTTTTTATCTTGCTCCTTCATCTGCTGTGTGTTCTTCTGTCTTCTCATTTTGCTTACCTTACTGTGTTTGGGGTCTCCTTTTTGCAGGCTCCAGGTTCGTAGTTCCTGTTGTTTTTGGTGTCTGTCCCCAGTGGCTAAAGTTGGTTCAGTGGGTTGTGTAGGCTTCCTGGTAGAGGGGACTAGTGCCTGTGTTCTGGTGGGTGAGGCTGGATCTTGTCTTTCTGGTGGGCAGGTCCACATCTGGTGGTGTGTTTTGGGGTGTCTGTGGACTTTTTATGATTTTCGGCAGCCTCTCTGCCAATGGGTGGGGTTGTGTTCCTGTCTTGCTAGTTGTTTGGCATAGGGTGTCCAACACTGTAGCTTGCTGGTGGTTGAGTGAAGCTGGGTGCTGGTGTTGAGATGGAGATCTCTGCGAGATTTTCGCCGTTTGATATTATGTGGAGCTGGGAGGTCACTTGTGGACCAGTGTCCTGAAGTTGGCTCTCCCACCTCAGAGGCACAGCACTGACTCCTGGCTGCAGCACCAAGAGCCTTTCATCCACACGGCTCAGAATAAAAGGGAGAAAAAGTAAAACAAAAGAAAGAAAATAGGAAGGAAGGAAAGAAAGAAAGAAAGAAGATAAAATAAAGTAAGATAAAATAAAGTTATTAAAATAAAAAAATAATCATTAAGAAAAAAAATTTTTTTAAAGAAAAAAAAAGGACAGACGGCTAGAACCCTAGTACAAATGGTGAAAGCAAAGCTATACGGACAAAATCTCACACAGAAGCATTCACATACACACTCACAAAAAGAGAAAAAGGGGAAAAAATAATATATCTTGCTCTCAAAGTCCACCTCCTCAATTTGGGATGATTCGTTGTCTATTCAGGTATTCCACAGATGCAGGGTACATCAAGTTGATTGTGGAGCTTTAATCCGCTGCTCCTGAGGCTGCTGGGAAAGATTTCCCTTTCTCTTCTTTGTTCGCACAGCTCCCGGGGCTCAGCTTTGGATTTGGCCCTGCCTCTGTGTGTAGGTCGCTACAGGGCGTCTGTTCTTCGCTCAGACAGGACGGGGTTAAAGGAGCAGCTGATTCGTGGGCTCTGGCTCACTCAGGCCGAGGGGAGGGAGGGCTATGGATGCGGGGTGAGCCCGCGGTGGCAGAGGCCAGCAGGACGTTGCACCAGCCTGAGGCGTGCCGTGCGTTCTCCCGGGGAAGTTGTCCCTGGATCCCGGGACCCTGGCAGTGGCGGGCTGCACAGGCTCCCGGGAGGGGCGGTGTGGATAGTGACCTGTGCTTGCACACAGGGTTCTTCGTGGCGGCGGCAGCAGCCTTAGCATCTCATGCCCGTCTCTGGGGTCCGTGCTGTGTTAGCCGCGGCTTGCGCCCATCTCTGGAGCTCCTTTAAGCAGCGCTCTTAATCCCCTCTCCTCGGGCACCAGGAAACAAAGAGGGAAGAAAAAGTCTCTTGCCTCTTCGGCAGCTCCAGACTTTTCCTCAGACTCCCTCCCGGCTAGCCGTGGTGCACTAACCCCTTTCAGGCTGTGTTCGCGCCGCCAACCCCAGTCCTCTCCCTGCGCTCTGATCGAAGCCGAGTCTCAGCTCCCAGCCCCACCCGCTCCGGCGGGTGAGTGCCGGTCGGCACCGATCCTTTGTGCGGGAATCTCTCCGCTTTGCCCTCTGCACCCCTGTGGCTGCGCTCTCCTCCGTGGCTCCGAAACTTCCCCCCTCTGCCACCTGCAGTCTTCGCCCACGAAGGGGCTTCCTAGTGTGTGGAAACTTTTCCTCCTTCACAGCTCCCTCCCACTGGTGCAGGTCCCGTCCCTATTCTTTTGTCTCTGTTTATTCTTTTTTTCTTTTGCCCTACCCAGGTATGTGGGGAGTTTCTTGCCTTTTGGGAAGTCTGAGGTCTTCTGCCAGTGTTCAGTAGGTGTTCTGTAGGAGTTGTTCCACGTGTAGATGTATTTCTGGTGTATCTATGGGGAGGAAGGTGATCTCCGCGTTTTACTCTTCTGCCATCCTCCTGGTTCCTCCATCCAGTGTATTTTGCAAGCTAAGTATTGTGCTGTGTATTAAGAATATAATAATAAAAAAATCAGAAAAGATCTCACCTATATCAGAGTGAGTCTTGTAAATAGCCAATTCTTTAACTGATGAAATTTTGGTGGTTTGGAACAACTCACACCTAAATATCTCTTCCTTTAACCTGTCATAATGTAGACAGATTATTTTTGCTTGTCCAGTTTCCTATAAAAATTTAAATAAACATTTAAATAGCCATTCATTCACTCATTTGTTCAAAGAATATTTATTATTGTGATCATTGGTGCCAGCAAGTACTCTCTGTGCTGGGAACACAGGTGTGAAAGGAAGAGTCACAGCACAGGTGCAGGTACAACCAAATAAGCCCTATGATAGTGGTAATGGCAGAATGAAAATGAAGATTCAGGACAGGGCATCTAAAAAGAGATTGCAGAGGAAACATGGAAGAACTCTCTAACAATAGAGAGAAATATTACATTTTAAAGTAGATTTAATATATCTGGGAATTGATGAGATGAAGATATGGTGGAAGTGAAATATTACAGTCAGGAGGAAGGCATATATGGTGGCACTGAGGGAGTGTGGTCATTTGATACTAGGTAGGTGACTCCTTAAAGCTTTCAGCATATAGCATGGGGGTGCGGGTGAACGTTGTTGGCAATTTACCAAGATCGAAAAGATGGAACATAGGTAAGATCTAGGGATGGGAGGGGTGCAGGACTGACAGGGGAAGGTAGAAATAGGGCACTAAGAAATTAAAACATCTATTATAGACTTTGCTGGGAGTCACCACATCACAATTTGCATTGTGTATTTGTTTACCCTAGAACTCCACAAAATCCTCTGTGGAATGATAAGGAATGGTTGAATCTCCTTTAAGGAATGTGCAGCTATATTAGCAATGAAAGCCAATAAATACAAATAGGAAAGGAAGCAAACCCACATCATGGAGGAAGATAATGAGATAATGCTGCTACAGCATCTCTTGGCAACTAACTGAACGAAATGCATGGAATGTCAGTGTTTTAAATGCCCTTCCAGTTTAACCAGCCCAGTTACCTGCTGCTGTTGACTTTTTCTCACTCACTGGCATCAGCAGGTACATGAGGAAGTGGAAATGAGGAGTGAAAAGGAAGAACTTTTCCAAGGATGATTGGTAAAATTAAGGAAGGCATTAATTTTGTTTTACCATTTTTAATCAATTTTGTAAGCAAGTGACTTCAATGCCCAGAAGGAAAAGTAAGTAAAGGTGTATCACTATCTAACGAATCATTCACATTACTCTTTGTTATCTTTCTTTTGGATATTTAACAGCTTGTAATGACTGATCTTGAAGGCATTTCCCATAAGCTATATATGCATTGTTGATGAAGTTCTATGACTGGAAACTTCCATCACTGCAATGACTGTTGGAAAGCACAGGTTCATTCAAACTAATAATGCATAGGAGTTTGTCACAGTTTTAATATATGTATTCTTCTTGCAGATGGTTGAAAAAGAAGGTTATCTTCAAAAAGCTAAAATTGCAGATGGAGGAAAGAAACTAAGGTAATAAAAGTTTTTTTAATTCACTTTTATATAACTATGCCAGTTCCCCATCTCCTCAATTGTGTCACTGGTATTGTTTGGAAAGGTAGGCCCTATGGTACATGACTAGAATATTCCTTTCTGCTATCACTAAGATCAACAGTATTTTTAATATAATTATAGTTTTCCAACAAAGCACTACATTTTATTTTGTTGCACAGAATATATAAATGAAGTGCTTCATGACCTTCTAAGACTTGAAATCTTAAAAGGTATGTGAAGAAATAAGATAATGGGTCTTGATTTCTGGGATTAATAGATTAGGGGATGAAAGGACTCATTTTGCAGTATATAAAAATCTCCCTACAGTACATTGGGATCATAATTTTTTGAAGGATGGAGGATTTGAAATACGTTTGTTGCTCAAATAAAAATCATTTGAGAAAAAAATAAAAGGAAAATAATCTGTCAGATAAAAAGTTGGAAGTTGCTGCACTTGGAGATGCGGTCAACACAGAGAAGGTGAGAGAAATTAGAAAATGTAATAAGGATTCCCTACGCAATAACAAGAAAAAACTTGGAGAAAAATATAAGGTTGATAGGAGGGTAGACAAACACACTACATGTTTTTTATGTATGGGATATTTAGAAATAATCATCTCCATTTTAGAATTTTCCCTATTTCTCATGTAGGTCTTATAATATACTTAGCTTTGTGCTAGGTTATATGCAAGCTGCAAAGGTATGTAGAAAGTGCTTACAATGGGAGAAAAGGCATTTATTCATGACTATATTATTAACAGTTAAAATCATACAGGATAAATTCACTAATTAGCTATACAATGGGACACTTATTAATTGTATAATACAATTCATTACTAGAATGGAACTCTGGCCAACACTAGAGAATGAAGTATGCTATTGTTTGTTTGCTATAGTGGAGTAAGTATATATTTATTTAAAAGAAGTAAAATTGGGGAAAACTATCATCCATAATTCCACTACTTAAAATAACGATTTCAATTTTAAAGAACAAACTCTATTTTCTGCCCATATTATGTTTTATTCTCGGATAGCAAACAGGGCCTTGAACCCTCTCCTAGACTGTTCCTCTGCAGTAACCCTGCAGCCACCCTCCTTTGAAGGGTCCAGGAGGGAGATGCACAGGAGACAAGATCAAATGCAATGCTGCTTTCAAAGACTCATCTAGTCCTGGCCCCAGTGGAGAACCTGACTTAATGTGTTGGGTTCTGAAAGGACCCAGGAGGGATTCTTTGAGTAACCCAATCTAGTGCCAACTTTCCCCTAGACTTTTCTCCCGGTTATATCAGCTCGTGAAAGGTGCAAGGATAAATCTTCCCAAGATAAGTCAAAACCCTTTCTTACTTTACCAGCGATGTGGACAAAAAATCCATAGAGGGACAGAAAAGGACTTGTCTAAGTTATCACTTCACCTTTCACTGGGGCTTGGCAGGAAAGAGGAGTGATAGCTTTGGTCAGTCTTAGCCTCCAGACTCATGCAAGCAAGAGGAGGAGATGCTAAAAGGAACTCCAAGGAAACAAGATGATGCGCCACCACAGTGATCTTGTACAATGTCCTTGCCCATAAGCTATCCATAAACCATCCCTATAAAATGTTTTCCTAGAAAGTGGTGTCAAGAAAAAGTAGAGGAGCACAACCAGGCCTTTTCCCTAACAGACTCACATGAATACATTTTTAGGTAATTTCAACCAGTGTGTATACCATTTTGTATTTGTTGTTACTTTAATCAGCTTACAAACCATTTCTGTGTTCTAGTTTAAATTCATATAAACATTATTTTATACTATGTTTTATTGTTATTTTAATCAGCTTGCATGCAATTATGTATTCCTTCAGCTTTTTCATTTAAAGTTATATAAATTTTAGTTTTCCTTTTTTGTTTTTGTTTTTGTCTTTGCTTTTAACCTCAGGTGTACAAATTGAGTTGATTTTCCTCTTCAGTGTGTGGCCTTGTATTATCATCATTCTGGACAAGACCCTTAGTTGGTTTTATTTTATTCATCTCCATTCCTCACTTCAGTCCTCTGTAGAATGTATGTTCATCAAATCCTCTCTCCATACATTTATTTGGCTATATGTATGGCATTCTAGGAAACAGTGTGTAAGTGAATGTGTTCTAAATTGCATAAGCCTTTGGTTATAAGCCTCATTCTGGTCTGTACTACTTTCATTCAATGTTAGTCAATGTTAGGATATCTATCTATATCTATATATTTAAAACAAGTTAATTTCTTCCAACTGCTGCCCATTTTGCCGTTGTGAACACACATCAAATTTTACTTACTCAGTCTTCCAGGAGTGGATACCTAAATTGTCCCTAACTCCTTCCATCCCAAACAACATTGCAACAAACCACACCGATATGTCTCCTTACAGACCTGTGAGGAATTCTCTCTAGGGCATACCCCCAGGAGTAAAGGATTGCTTGGTGGTAAGGTACACACGGTTATAAATGATTTGGGTACTACATGCCAAACTTTCTCCAGAATGAATGCATCGGTTCACACTCTCTCCACAGTGCAGAAGGGATCGCCTCGCTCCATGATCTCATCAGCATGCAGCATTATCAAACTTTCAGTTTTGCAAGTTGATGGCTATAGGACATTACTTTAGTGTTGCATTTATTTTTATTCTTCTGACTGGTGTTTCATTTAAGCATCATGTCACCTATTTAGAGTCAGTCAGGCTATGCATTCCAAGAATCGCCTGTGCATAAACTATCTTCTACTGAGTTTCTCCCTTTTTTTTTTTTTTTTGAGAGAACTCCTGATATACACCAGGTAGTAATACATTGTCAACTTTAGGCTTGGCAGATATCTCCTCCAAGTCTCTCACTATCTATTTACCTTGCTGATGAAAGTCCTTAGTGACCAGATATCTTTAAATTTGATCCATATTGTTCCATAATTTCATTCTTTATTGTTTGTGAGATTTGCTTTCTTTTTAAAAAAATTTTAATTGAAGTATGGTTGATTTATGATATCATGCAAGTTTCAGGTTTACAGCACAACGATTCAGTTCTATATATATATATATATATTCTTGTTCAGATTCTTTTCCCTTATAGGTTATTACATAATATTGAGTATAGTTTCCTGTGCTATACAGTAGGTTCTTGTTGGTTATCTATTTTATACACAGTAGTGTATAAAATCCCAGCCTCATATTTCATCCCTCCCATCCGTCCCCCTTTCCCCTTTGGTAACCATAAGTTTGTTTTCTGTATCTGTGAGTCTCTTTCTGTTTTGGAAATAAGCTCATTTGTGTCTTTTCTTTTCTTTTCTTTTCTTTTCTTTTTTTAGATTCCACATATAAGCGATATCACATGATATTTGTCTTTCTCTGTCTGGCTTACTTCACTTAGTATGACAATCTCTCAGTCCACCCATTTGCAACAGCAGCAAATGGCATTATTTCATTCATTTTTATGGCTGAGTAATATTCCACTGTGTGTGTGTGTGTGTGTGTGTATATGTATGTATGTATATATGTATATGTATGTGTAGGGGTATGTGTGTGTATAGATATACATATATATATGTATATATATACGCCACATGTTCTTTATACATTCATCTGTTGATGGACATTTAGGTTGCTTTCTTGTCTTGGCTTTTGTAAATAGTGCTGCAGTGAACATTGGGGTGCATGTATCTTTTCAAATTATGGTTTTCTCTGGATATATGCCCAGGGGTGAGATTTCAGGATCATATGGTAGCTCTATTTTTAGTTATTTTAAGGATTGCTTTAGTTTTTATTATAAACACATTACAGATTGAAAATTGTAGTATATATAGTCAGCATGTTTAATAACATATAATACACCACAATGTTGATGGGACTGTAATACACCAAGCCATTTCTACGTTCCTCTTTTATTAGATTTTTAAGTTGATTCCAGTTTTATACTAAAATAGTTATAAATGCAGTAAACCTACTATTGCTTGTCAATTTTTCTTTTATATCTTCTTAAGAGAATTTCTAAGCCTAGATGACTTAATTAAATCACAAGACCATTTTTTAAATGACTGTTATGTATTGACATACCGCTTGCCCAAGGAGTCTGTATGTTTTTTGTAACTAATAACAAAATGGTCAGTTTAATCATAACTTTGAAAAATTGTGTAGTTTTTATATCATTGGTAATTTAGTAACTATTAAATAGTATACCATAGTTGCTATAATTTGTATTTCTTATGTAAAATTTCTTTCCATAGCCTTTTCCCCATTTATCAGGGAACTTTATATCTTTTTATAAATTATAATGAGTTACTGCAATAGTAACAGATGCTTATGCTGTCAAGTACTTGGATAATTGCTTTACCAGTAATTCTGAAATAATACTCTAAAATAGGCTATATTACTGCTTTCAATCTTACAAGTGGAGAAACTTGGTCACTTGTATCAGCCTCTCCTTCTCTCAATCTTATTGCATGTATAGTTGGTATCAGATTTTTAGTCCTGTCCTCTGTTTAAAGTAGGTTGGATTTTTCCCTCTTGCTAGAAGATGTTTGAGGCCAGGAAGCAAAAATTGTTTGTTTATTTCATACCATCAACAGTACAAAGGGCTTCAATTGTCACTTAATACTATTTTATTAATCCCAAAGTTTTCTACCCATGAATACATGACAGGTCATCCACATTATATCTTGTGTTCTTATTTTTCTTTCTTTCCCTCCTCCTGTTCCTTTTTCTTTAGCTTCCTTTCCTCTTTCATATATTTTTTCTTTCTAAGACAAGTTTGACCTATCTCTGAATACAACAAGAGTAGGTGGAAGGAAGGAGAACTCCTTGGCTATACCTTACATTTGTAAAGGGCCATAAATTTAACTTTATTTTGAAATGAAGTTCTAGAAATCTCCCCAGACAGACAGACGGGGTTGAAAGCCGAAGACATTCAGCATTCAACTTTAGTTTTTCTTTGTGAACATTGAAAGTATGCTTTTTCTGATAAAGTTTAGAAATTCCTGCATTTTGG